GGGGGAGGGGGGAGAGGAGGGGAAGGGGGGCAGTCCCTGGGTTCCAGCAGGCAGCGCCTTCTCTGCAGAACATGATGTGGGACATGGGAAGTCCGGCCAGCCTGTTTCAGGAGGTGAGGCTCAGGCCCTGGCCGCCAGAGAGGCCAGAGTCCTCTTGCCGCTGACCCTCGGTCTCTTCATCTACGCAAGGGAGCCACCTGTGGCACTGGGGTCCATGAAGACCCTCAGGCCAGGGTACTGAGCCGGGGCCTGTGACCTGGGCTTCGCCAGGTAATTCTTCCTAAGCCTCAGGTTTGCTCTTGGGCAGTGTGGGCATAAAAGTGGTTCTGTGCCATCACTGGGGTGTGTGTGTGTGTGCATGCATGTATATGTGTGGGTCTATATGTTTATGTGTGTGGGGTGTGTGTATGTGTGTATATATATGTGTATATGTGTGTGTGTGTCTGTAGAATATTGAGGGTGGCCCTGTCAGAGGACTCTGGAAATCACTCTGCAGTATTCAAACAGAAATTCACTATATTCTATAAAAATATCTCTGTAGTCAGTGGTAACGACGCCTTTTCCTGGAGCCCAGCATACGTGTGTACGTGGGTCATGTCCCCACAAGGCTGCCCTGCTGGTCAGCCGTGTGAGCCTCCACAGGACGCCTTCCACGAGGAGCGTAGGTGGCACCGTGGTTACGTGTTGGACTATTCCCGAGACAGTCAGGAGCACTCGGGAGAAAGACGAGGCTCTCCACGTCCGTCAAGCGCGACAGTCTGAGAAGCTCCCAGGGGCAGTTCTACCCTGTCCTCTGGGGTCGCTAGGCGCCACACTGGACGCGGTGGCCAGTGGGAGTGTCCTTATCACCCCATCACAGTGGAGCTCGGAGTCACGTAGTTTCCTCCCTCCCTGCCTGTTTTCCCACAGTCGCGGTTTTTGTCAGTGTCTGGTGTTTTAGCACGGCGGCGTGACCAGCCCCGTTTCTGAACTCTGTCTGCAACGTTCCGAGGAATGACGTGCTCATGAAGCGGAAAGGAGGAGACAGATTTTGAACAGGCTTCTGCCACGTGACTGACGACGTGGCTCCCCACGTCGTGGCAGCAGCATGTCCAGAGAGACTACAGAGTGCGTCCGTCAGCAGCGTGGATCACATCA